GATAATTTGACTGGAGGATCCATTTGGAATCCAACACACTATGAGCACCCAGGATGAATAACTGGCTACATAGCACACATTTATTAGAATGTAACATGCTACCCTTTGTAGCTCCCCAGGACTGGTAGCCCCCCAGTAGTCCTCATAGCCCTACAGGACTGTCCTTCCTACACCTTCCTGATCGTCCAAACAAAGCTGCAGTTGCCCATTATTTTTCTGGGAAAGCTGACAGGATCCGTACCAGAAGTATCTTTGGAAACGCTGGAGGTTGGAATTTTGTTTTGCAACAAGTCAGCTTTTGCATTAATATTAATAGTTAATTTAAAAAGTAAGGAACCTGGCAAGCTATGCCTGCACCCTTGCGTGCATCTATATGAAAATAAGTTTCACTGAAAATAGCAAGACAAAGACATCATAAAGACCAGGGTTACTTTCATTAGGTTGTTCATGACTAGATATTTGAATAGCTGTTGAAGCTGCTTTTTAAAGATCTTTATACATCTTTGAAACATAATGCTTTATGTCATATCTCCTTAAATCTGTTTAGAATGATCTTACCGTTCTTTCCAGCATAACTGCGGTTAAAGCCAGTCTGGTAAATTGGAATCAGTGTGGAACTGGGAGTCCCATGGAAAAGGATTTTCTCATTGTTTCCATGGCCATTTTTTTTATCTATTTGCTGTTTCTTGACTTGATAGCCTTGCCAGAGGTAAGGATTCTGAACCCTTTCAATCTACAAAGATTGCAAATATAGAACTTTATTTTTCATTTATCAGTATCATTCCTTATCATACAACTAACTTTCCCAGAGAGTTTTGTCATGATCCCTTGGTGACTATACTGAGATTAGAAATAAACAATCTGAGAAGAAAGGTTGCAGTGAAGAATGGGCAAGAAAAGTCTCTTACGTGTTACTTCTCACCAAAAAGATCTTATTGTCCCCTGCATTCCCTTTATTCAGCAAGCATGGTATTAGGAACCATATTTATTTTTATTATTTATTTGTTGAATTTATATATCTGCCCATCTCACTGCTGTGACTGCTAAAAATTTTTAAAAATACAAAAACAAAGCAACCACAAAAAATCATTAAAAACAATAAAACTACTAAAACCATAAAAATATTTATAGACTGAATCCCTAATACTGTATCATTAGCAGTTTACCACAGGCAAAATAAATGCAATTTCTATGGTGGCTATTTTGGACTATGGAAAGGCCAGTTCACTGTTATCTTATTTGGGTAAGAACTTCAGAAAATGCTCCTCGTGAAAATCATGGCAGCAAGATTCATTAAGTTATGTTCCCTTTGGAATGTTATTATTGCTAAACAAATGGGGCAAATGCATGCAAAAGCAACTACTGTAGATCTAGATTTATTATGCCCACCACTTGGAACTATGGAAGATCGAATTACTAGAACAACATAAAGTTTCAATTGTCAGTATTGGGGTGGTTGGTGATCAGAAGACACTTGAAGGTGGGGAAAGAAGGTGTAGACAATGACTCAGCAAGGATGGGTAAGCTTTGTGACCCAGTTCACAGGTAGACATAGCACACCAACAACCATGTCATGGAGTAACAAAGACTGTTACTCCAGTCTTG